AAAACTATGAAAATATAATGTGTTTCTTACCCTCGTAATATTTCGATGGATCTCGTATTTCTTCAATAGTAAAATATTCTGCACTCATGATTATTATTTGTTAGTTTACTAAGCAATAAAATTTAAGCACTCGGTTTAATATTTTCGAACAAATTTCTGAAAAAAGTTTGAAAATCCATAAATTGCCCTTTCAAAAAACTATTCCACAAATTGACAGATATTTTTTGTCATTTTACACAAATAATTTGACGTTGCTATCTGGATTCTTTGATGTTAAAATATTGCTAATCTCGTAGAACAACATGTAAACAACTTTTACTGCCATTTTCTTTGGTCGATACATTTGAATTAATTGTTTTTTACTAAAATATGCACAAGCATTCATTTCTGTCTATTTAATAGTTTCGAATGGAGGTTAAGGCTTTGTTTTAGCGGCCAGGCTTTTTTTTAAATATATGTTAATGCTTATTTTGGGATGATAAATAAGAAAATATAAATAAATTTTCTTTGAGATCAACAATTACGTCATAAAATTCAGTTTATTAGAAATCATATTTTCGAATTTTATGAATCTTCCATGAAAAGATTTAAGAGAGTTTATGGAACTTTAATTTTTAAATACAAAAATTGACGAGAAAATGAAAATGGTTTAATAAAAATCTTTGAACTCCCTTATTGCCTTTATTAGGAACGCCTGAGATGGGACGAGGAGGGGAAAGAAAAAGTTCACTTGTAAGAAAACGGGAAAGGAGAAAGGAAAGAACTTTTGTTGCTGTTGCATGGCGCTTAATCTTTGGGAAATCCTATTCCAACATTTTTTCGTAACCCTCCCAGTTTCTAATTACAGCGGACCCCCGGTAATCTGAAAAACGTTTTGCAGGGCAGTGTCGAATTATAGAGTTTGTAGAATTATAGAGTACTGCCTAAGACCCCCTATAGTCTGGGTTTTTTTTTTACAAAAGAGTACCTTTTGTTATCCGACAAATTACAGATCCAATGATAAGATTCTACATGTTATATCTGTATATTCTGAAGTACAAATCATACNGTAATTAATTTATTTACCAAAAAATTATCTATACTTCGTTCACGTTCAAGGTTTAATTTATATGAGACTGTATACCAAATTCATTCGTGTAGGTATTAGAATTGATTGGCTTTTATTAAAGCCACTTTTATTTTTCATTAATTTAGTTTTATAACTGCTATTTGTATTTTATACAAAACAAATTTGTTATAATTAAAATCATGACAACATTATTTAAACATCAGTTTGGATTTGTTCTGTCGTTTGACATAAGTGACGTTTTAATTAATAAAATTCCCTGTTAATTAAATGACAAAAACGTTATGTCCTTGTCAAATAATTACACGAAATATATACGTCAAGTCGTAAAAAAAAATTAATTAAATCAAACTAAGCTGTTACTCGCATTATTTTGAGGTGAATATGTGCTAAGAAATTATTGTCTTGAATAAACAATCAAATGTCCGAAGAAACAGATTCCGAAAGCAACCTTACTCAAAATGATAGCTTCCCAGTCGTGTTTTTACGACACAAATTGGGGATCAAGTCCGAAGATCGGTACATGATTGACATGGCCTTAGCCCTAAAAAACTTTGGGCACAGGGTGACTTTTTTTACTACTAAACTGGACAATCTTGAATGCTTCGAGGAAATAGATGTAAGTGTTCGTAATGATTCCACTAGAGATTTTTGAGTGATACCCCGTTTTAGCCTATCAGGGGATGTCTCCCGGTACTTCACTCCGGCTGGTGGATACCGGATAGCATCCTGGGAATGTTTAGAAGAACGATGGTTTTTCTAAAATCACTCTGGTTGGTTATGAGAATGATCTTTGTTCCTCCTGCTCCGAAACCGAAAGTCATCATTCTAGACGTTCATCCACTAGGGCTTACATTTCTTAAAGTATTAAGCAAGTACAGGACTATCTTCATCCAACATTTTCCGATGATTCAAGCGCTGGACATTTCCGAATACAGGCATCTGAATCCGCGTTACGAAGTAGCGAATGCATTGAATCATGCGACGGAAATAATTGTCCAAACGAGCTGTTTAGCTCAAGTTTTTCGGCATTTATATCCAAACTGTAAAAAGCAACTAAGGATTTTATGCCCCTGCGTCGACGTGGGACTGTGGAATGAGCCTTCAGCCAACCTTTCTCGCATTATTCCCGACTTGCCAAGAAATGCAATCATGTTTGTCGTATTTGGAGACTACCGAAAGAGATCGAACTTTAAATTGGCTCTCGATTCCTTAGAATATTTACTCAGAATGTTAGAAGACCCTATCAAAGAAGATATTCATATGATAATAGCAGGGCATTGCAGTGAAAAATCTAACGAGCAACTTCAGTACTATCAAGAATTGGTTGAGGTCACCTCGGAAAAATCTTACGGAGCTCAGGTCACGTTTCTGCGTCAACTACCCACTTTGCATAAGAAAACCCTGATAGAAAACTGCGTGGCAGTTGTACATCCTGTGAAAAACGATCTCTATCCCGGACCTCTACTAGCAGCTATGAGTTTAGGCAAACCCGTAATCGCAGTCAATAGTGGCTTTCCTAGTGAAATTGTGACCCACAGAATTTCTGGAATTTTGGTCGATCCGTTGCCAGAGAAATTTGCCGCGGCAATGTACAAGCTCGCAACCAAACCGATAGTTCAACATTTCATTGGTCAAATGGCGAAGGACACGTTCAGGTCGCACTTCACTTTCCAAAACTTTTCAAGAAAGTTACACTCAGTGGTAACGAATTCACGAAAACTATCTATTGATAATATGTAAGAAAAATCGCAAATATAATTGTATTTTGCTCATACTTTATTCGCTTTTACGAGCGAAATTTGTACAATAACGTACTAATGAAACGTTTAGGAGGTTTAAACAATAAATCTTTGTCACTTGGCAAATTTAACTTTTTATATTTAAATCTTAATAT